GGCCAGTTAACATTTTAATCAGTGGCTTGGATACTGGAATAAAAATATGCTTAGAATGTCTGTGATGGACACTAATGTTCATGATTGGAATAGACCCAGTTCCTAAACTGCTTTCTACCTTATAATCTTGCTATAGCTTGGAGAAGCTGTGGGTGATTTTCTATATAAAGAAATGGATATCCCAACAGTACTTACCTTTGTCACCTACACTCAATTTGTTTTAAGGCAGGCCAAGTTCTCCTATTAGTTTCTACCTATGTCCTAGACTGATCCCTTCGTCTTCTCTTTGCTTCCATGGGACTAAAGCATCCTGATTGTTTATTCTCATTCCTGGTTGCCATTGCTTGCAACTCAGCCTGGACCCTCACAGCTGCTCTTTCTGGTACACAGGGATTATTAAGGCTTTAACTGCAAACATACAAGGAAATATAAGGGATTTTTAAAATTCCAAATAATACAGATTATTAAAAGCTAGAAAAGCTCTTAAAAGTAATACTCATCATAGGTTTTTCTGGTCTACATTAAAATGTAAATGAAACAAGGTCAAAGAGTCCCTTTCCTGAGTCATTCACTCTGTCTGAATCCAGAGTCTAGACCAAGCTCTGAATCCAAGTTCAGCAGATTCCCATTAGCCCAGTGGGATTGCTAATTCTTTTCAGATTAGGCTTCCTAGTCTTCTCTGTTTATCTTCTCTTTTTCTCTGAGTCTCAAGCCTGTTATCCTTCATCACAATTATTCTTGGCTCCCCTGGTCCTTTCCTTCTTCCTTGCGACTTGAAAGAGAAGGACCATTATGGACTCCTTCTCTAAACTTTAAGAAGTCCTCTACTGACCTAAAAAATACCTTTTTTGCCCTTTGGAGTTCCTGCCTTCTCTATCAGTATTTATTTGGAATCAATTTACTAGGAATCATTGAGGCTCATTATTTCAGCTTTTTTTTTTTTTTTTAAGATTTTATCTATTTATTCATGAGAGACAGAGAGAGAGAGGCAGTGGGAGAAGCAGGCTCCCAAGGAGCAGGGAGCCCGATGTGGGGCTCGATCCCAGGACCTCGAGATCATGACCTGAGCCGAAGGCAGACGCTCAACCATCTGAGCCACCCAGGCGCCCCCTTTCAGCTTCTTAATGATGCTCTGAATATATGCGTAGGCTTAATTCTCTATTGAGACCTCATTAGTGTTCTCCATCCAGAGGTTAGCCTCTGTACGTTATCTCTGGTCTCACTAGTTTCCAAAAGGCATAATCCCATCCTACCTTGTTGGTTTTTTTAAATCCTACCTTTGATAGACTCAGTTACTTTTTTTTTCTTTTTGTATCTAAGGGAAACATCTACATTTATGGACTACTTGAAACACCCTAATTTCAAATTAGTGTTAAGAGCCTTTGGTTGTTCTAGATTATGTGCATGTTTTGTGTTGTGTTGTGTGTGTGTGTGTGTTTCTTCTTATGTCCTTCTCTTTTCTCCAAAAGGTGGTTTTCCAGGGTCTTAATATTATTTTTAAAATATTAAATGTGGTAAACAATTACTAGTATTCACAAATACCCAATTCTCCTTTCCATTCCTGTTTAGGAAAGATTATATTTTCCAGGCTCCTTTAGTTAGGTGAGAACAGTAGACTGGCTCCGGCCAGTGAAATGTGCATGGGTGTGACGTGTGAACATTAAGCTGAGACAATGAAAAACCTCAATTTCTCTAATCTGTCTTGTCTCCTGTCATGACTACCAGCTATACTCTGGGCAGAGGATTCTGTCAGCCTCTCCCTACATGATTATATGAAACAACTACTGTTTTGTTGACTCACATTGGACATGTAGTGTGAGGAAGAAATAAACTTTTGCTGTGTTAGAAACTGGTATTTCAGGGTTAATTTGTTACTGAGGTATAGCCTATTATCCTGATTAATAAAACCATTATGTTATGAGCAGCGTCTAGCAATAACAAGCATTATCTCCTCTGGCAGAAGAGGCTCAAGATTCCCTAGAATGTAACAAGATGATAAATCCATTTTAATGTCCATAAACTGTGGAAGGAATGATTTTTTTTTAAATAAGGAACGATATTTTTTAAAAGCAAGACAACATTTTGATTTATTAAACATGGACAAATTCAGAGACTTAATTTTAGCATCTAGAGATACAAATTCTTGGTTTTTCTTTGAAAATTAGATTTCTTTTCATAGTACTGTTTTCTGTAAAACTATTGTTTTATTCCTACCTTGTATTTCTAAAACGTTCATATCAAAGGAGGCTATCGAATATTTAGAGCTCTAAGAACAGGTCAGCTTCATGATTCCTACCCCACCCATGGGGTCAACTGTGGCACAGTACAAAGAATTCCAGTGCCATGGATTCCATTATGTCCAGAATCTGTCTTGTGTTTTGCCTTCCAAACCTGCCTTGACTGCCTTACTTGTTCATTCCTGAGGCTTTTCTTGATGTCTGGTCTCTGGACTCCACCCTCCATTTAGACCTAATGTTTCAACTTTACTTGCTTCCCACACCCTCATCTGGGACCCAAGCATCAATCCCCCTTTGTTCTTCAGCCAAAAGCTTATTCCCCTCCCCCATTCTCACACTCGCTCTCAACTCCTGGAACTGCTAAGCCCAGGCTCCCCACATTCCTAGGAAAAGAAGTCAGCAACAGGAGGTCAGACAAAAAAATCTGAAGCTCATGCAGGTAGTAGTGGAAGTTATTTTTGTGTGTGATTTTAGGAAACCAAACTCATTTGCTTCAAACTTTTCCACCATCTTAATTATTTCTGGGCTCACTGGTTGTAGTTTACTTCTTAAAGGCATTGTAATCCATCAATGTGTACATGTATTGATATCCTGATGGTGAGATAGAAAAGAGAAGGATCAGGCTGCAAAGTGCTTTATAAAGAAGGACAGTTTTCTTATTTTCCAGATGCATTAGGGAGGCACAGCTGGAAAGAGAATGTGGGTTTTTATCCAAATCCTGTGCTTTCATTTGTCTTGGCAGCTACATTCTGAGGAGTGTAGGTCATTAAGAGGACGCAGCACTCTGGGCTGAGCTTCTGTGTAAGGTAGCACTGCAACAGTAGAGCTGTGAACATCTTAGACACACCTTATGCGCTGTCTACTGTATATAAACTGCTACATAATTCCTACACATAAAAAGGGACACTTTATACAAAATGTAGTTCAACATTTCTTATATATCCATCTTAATCAGTATAATTCTGCTGAACTGAATGCTCTCATTTTCAGAGCTTGCATGATTATGGCTGCCAATATTATCATAAGAAAAAGAATTATCAAAGTAATTTCCCTGAATGTGTAATGACTTGTTCTCTCTTCTCTCCTGTCCCAAGTATTCCTCAAGTATTGAAAGAAAAATCAAGAATTACTATTTTATTATTCACTTGTTATTATTAATTACAAATTATTGATCCTTTGCTATGTTCCCTTCCTCTGGTCATATATAATCAGTGATAACTTCTAGCAAAGGCTGCTGATGATTTTAAAAATGTTCATGTTGGGCGCCTGGGTGGCTCAGTTGGTTAAGCGACTGCCTTCGGCTCAGGTCATGATCCTGGAGTCCCTGGATCGAGTCCCGCATCAGGCTCCCTGCTCAGCAGGGAGTCTGCTTCTCCCTCTGACCCTACCCCCTCTCATGTGCTCTCTATCTCATTCTCTCTCTCAAATAAATAAATAAAATCTTCAAAAAAAAAATGTTCATGTTTCATAGCTTAATTCATATTTCTTTTACATTAAAGCACTTCCTGAAATAGGGAATAATTATGCAAAGTACAGTAGATTTAATGTGATCCAGGATCCAAGACATCCTGTTCTTGCTACAGTTGGGAAGACTGTTAAGGTTGGAAAGGGAAAGTCTTCTTTTGGTAGTAGTCTAGCCTCTGCCTGCTTCTTTTATCTTTGTCTTTCCCAGCTTTTGTTTTGTTTTGTTTTCCTTAGTGCTCCTTAGCTGACATTGATCTATTGACTCAGGGAAGGTATTGTTATCTCTTTGGTATTTATTTGAAACCTTAATGCACCTCAAATCTTCATTTCAACATAGCATGTTAAGTTGGGACTGCAGTATCTATGAAATTGTCTGGTACTCAAACCACAAATGTTAAACATTAAAACTCAGTCTTGAAAGGAAGGGAAAAATTTAAAACCATGTTTTAATAATACTATCAATAACTTAGCTATGTTCATGTATTCTCTCTTTCTTTTATATACAGAGCATGATTATATGTATTTCTCTTTCTGTTACCCCGCTGTTTTCTTTTTATAATGATTGGGATACTGGAGAAACAAAAAGGACGTTCAAAATGCAAGAAGCTGTATTTGTGTCCTTACAGCTATTGGTATATTCCAATATCAGTGAGATGATAGAGTTTTAGGAACTCTTCTGAGCAATTTTGCCCACTGAGGGCATCTAATAATGACTACAAAAAAAAAAAAAAAAATCAGTAAGGTCCATACTGTTCACTTTTCTTCCTACTCAAAACTAAGGGTTTTTTGTTTTGTTTCTGTTTTTTCTTTTCTACTCAAGACATACAAGATTTAATTGAGAATGACATCTCACACTAAGAGATAATCTGTATGTATTTTCTTAAAATTTTCATAATTCATATGCACAGCAACTAAAACTAAAAGACAAATGTAAACTGTGGGGGCAAGAGGCATATGTCTCTGTCCATTCTGGACCTTCAGCATCCAGCCTATTTTTTGGAACATGGTAAACAGGAAGTAGATATTTGTAAATTTGAAAATTAATTGGTAATACATTATCAATATATGAAATGGTTCTGGTTTAACTACCAATTCTTCCTCACTCAGTCTCTTCATGTAAAATGGTTCTGGAATGATTAAAGGAATAAGGGTGCTATTCACCTTAGGGTCAGCATCTCTTCTGTGGCGCTGGCTCTGCATTATCATACTGGTTCTTTGTTGTCCACTCATCTATTTTTGCTTTCATTTCTAGTCCCTGTCACAATATGAGTCAGGCCACATCTTTCTTTTCTTTTTTTTTTTTTAATGGAACTCTTCACGAATTTGAGTGTCATCCTTGCCCAAGGGCCATGCTAATCTTCTGTGTAACATTCCAGTTTAGCATATGTGCTGCCGAGCAAGCACAGACTGTTTCTTTCTAGATGGGGTGTTTCCATGTATTACTCCTGCTCTCCTAATTGGGAAATAAAGCTCTCATTTGTATGTTGCGGTAGCTCAGGCTCTGGTCCTATGATTTTTCTTCATCCATCATCTTCCTCTCTTTTATTCTTTCTTCTCTCTCTCCATTGGCTCTTTTCTCACCAGCAAATATTTGATATTTAGATATACTTAAGACGTATCCATTTTAAGAACAAACAAAAGTAAATAAAGTACCTTGACATTTGTGCCTTTTTAGGTAAGATTTCTTCCTCCCTTTCTTGGCCAGGTCACTTGAAATACTAGTCTACCTGGAATGTTTCTCTTTCCTTTGCTCCTGCTCTTTTCAACCCAAGGTAATATCTCGTCTGCCTATCACACCTCACAAAAAAGTATCCTTCATAAGTCTTTAATTCTCGATATGACTTTCTATGATATGGAAAGAAAATGCTATGAATTTTAATTACATTTTTATTAATATTTATGTCCTCATTAACATTGGAACCTTACTTGTTCACATGTTAAGTCAAATGATGGATCTGGGAGGGAAGAGTGACAGCCACTATGGAGATGTTTCTATGTAACTGCTGTGTGTTGTAATTTTCAGTTACAATGATGACACTCTTAATCCTTGTATGAGCTCTTAATCTGGCATATTAGTAGTTAAATACAGTAATAATCTAACAGGCCCCTATGAGAAATATGCTAAAAAAATTAAAATCATCAATATCTATTTAAAATCTATATTCATGGGGCACCTGGGTGGCTCAGTCGGTTAAGTGTCTGCTTTCGGCTGAAGTCATGATCCCAGAGTCCAGGGATTGAGCCCCGCATCAGGCTCCCTGCTCAGTGGGGTCTGCTTCTCCTTCTTCTTCTGCCCCCCACTGCTCCTTCTGTCTCTCTCACTCACTCTCTCCCGACATAGATAAAGGGGATTAAGAAGACACTTATTGTGATGAGCACTGAGTATAAAGTTTTTGAATTATTATATTGTACACCTGAAACTAATTTAACACTGTTTGTTAATCATACATCAATTTTAAAAAAAAGCAAAACAAAACAAAAATCTATATTTACACCAACTACCATAAAGATGAAGTTTACCCTAAGTGCTTTGAAATAATTGCTAATATTAGCAAAACAATAATAGCTATTAATATTAGCAGGGCCTTTAAAATACATTAACTCATTTTATTCATATTTTTTCTATTTTTTGTATTATATAATACAATCCATTGGTACAGTAGAATATGCATATAATCTGTAAATAAATGATTATACATATATGGTTGGTTTTTGCTCAAATAGTGTTCCCTCATGGAGTATGCACTCAAAAAGCAGACTACTGTATTATATTGCTTTACCTATTTATGTTGGGTGGCTCTTCTGTAGTTAAAACAAAGTATTTCCTCATCAATTAATTTTGGGTAATGAAACAATCTGTGTGTCTCATTGGATAATTACAATGTGCATAGGCATACTAAATGTCCTGAAATGTCCTTCAGTAAATACATTTTTCATTTTACTGTGTTTACAAAGCATTTTCCAAACTTATTTGTTTAGAGACAGTTTTTTTGTCTTTGTTTTTCTTTTTGTTTTGGTGGCACCACTCTTAACATATTTTGGATTAGGGTTCCACAGATTACTAATCAGATACTCATGTGGGAAATGTTGATTGCTGATTTGAAATAATATCTATGATGCATTGTTCAGTGCAAAAAGAAGATTCCAAGCCAGTATGAATAGTATGACTTACTTAACAAATTATATGGACTTATGAAGATCTGAGCTGACATATATACTAAGATGCAAAAAGTACTAGATGATGGATTTATTGTTGATTCTGTTTTTCTATTTGATTAGCATAAAAATGCTTTGATTCTGTCTCTTTCACTCTGTGTGCCTGTGGTAAAATTACTTAAACTCTCTGTGCTTTAATTTCAATCATAAAATGTCAGTTTTAAGTGTTTTACTTGGAATAAGCTGTATTTCCTGTACTAATATTTTTTATACTCGGCAAGTACTTAGTGTGCACCTGTTGTGAGCTAAGCACAATGAAAGTGACTTGTTTATATGATTTAAAGCATTTTTTAAAAAACCCTCACAATCCAGGTATATTAAAATTGAAATAAAACTTACTACACCATTTGGACCCATGATCCCTTCAGTATAGCAGGGTTCCTGACCTGGTACCACGATGGGACAAACAACAATGTCAAAGTGCTTATTTTTTTTTATTTAAGATTTTATTTATTTATTTGAGAGAGAGAATGAGATAGAGCACGAGAAGGGGGAGGATCAGAGAGAGAAGCAGACTCCGTGCCGAGCAGGGAGCCCGATGCGGGACTCGATCCCGGGACTCCAGGCTCACGACCTGAGCCGAAGGCAGTCGCTCAACCAACTGAGCCACCCAGGCGCCCCAGAGTCCTTATCATGATCCTTGCTGTTGACATCAAAGGCCAAGAATGTGGCCTGAATATCTTCTTTCCCTTAATAATCCTTTATTCATAATCGTAATCTACTTCTTTCTCTGATTTTCTTTATATACTGACTAATTGTGGCAAACCTTATTTGAAGCTATTCATATTTTTACTTTTTACTACTTCTTAGGAGGTTACAAATTCTATGAATTCCTTACGTGATAAATTAGAAATTAATTATTTGTATTTATTTTAACTATATCTGTAGGAGTGCTGAAACATGGACTTCATCTTTGGCCCTCCATCTTGTTCTACCCTCTGGCACACAAATGACGCCAATTTAGATAACTACCTTGTGACCTCACCATCATGCCCCTCACTCCAGTCCCATGGGGATTAAGGTCTGGATGAGGACAGAGAATATGGGACAGAGAATAGCAGCCAACAATAGCTCTGTAATATCCTGGATTGTCCCTCCATGCACCCACCTGCCCAGTTGCTCCTGCTAGTAAGTTATCCTGAATAAGACTGTATAAATGGTGTGGAGTGGCTTACTTTGTTTTTCAGTATTAGAGTGCCTTCTGAGTCTGGAGGACACATTACTGACCCTCCAACACTTTCTAACAATGTCTTACACAGGCTTTGTGGTTTGAGCACCCAATAGGAATACTGATCAGGTATTTTGTTACTATAAAGTGACGCATCAGTTGAAGGGCCTTAGAGCATACTGTGGGTATAATCCAAGAATGAGTCAGTCTCAGGAGAATCTTTTTGGAGTAACTATGAATCATATTTGTTTAGGATTTGCTTCTGGAGTATTCTGTACTCTAAAGTACCTGAAAGACCACTTTGCCTTCTGAGCCTGTATACTGTGGAATGGTGCCTAATAATATGAAGAAAAATGAGAATAAAAACCGCAGTGCAGCCTTTTATTTGCTTTATGTGTTTACATGCTTACTATGTTGCTAAACATATGCTCTCATTATCATGAACACTAAATCCCAAATCTCTTTCCCTTACAGTTAAAAAACAATCATTATTAATCTAGAAACATATCTTCTAATCGGGTTTCTTGTTCTGAAGGTGACAGCATTAAAATGAGTGGACTATTTGGAAGCACTCATCTTTGGTTTATACTTTATATCACAGTTTTTCAACCCTGATATTATTGATACTTGGAGCTGCATAATTCTCAGTGGGGGGCATTGTTCTGTGCATTTTTGAAAATTTAGCAGCATCCCTGGCCTCTACCCACTAGATGCCAGTAGCAAGCCCTCTTTGCCCCAACTGTGATAACAAAAAATATCTCCAGTTATAAACATCATCTCCAGTTGAGAAGCACTGCTTTAAATATCGACGTTATTTCTTTCTGTTGGTACATTTGGGTATAAAACAGATTGAACATTTGATGTCTAGTGGGGGTCTCTGAAAGAAACACATGTTTTCCTGTCTTTGAGTTGTTTTTGAAAAGACTTAACAATTTTCTTTTAATGTGTAAATCTAATCCTAGAGACCAGAGAAAAGGGTCTAGGTGTAGATATAGGATTTATTTATCCAACACTTCATACCAGATATGAATATGTCATAAGACATATTTCTTTTAATATCTTCCTTATTTGTGTAATGATTGGCCCCAATCATTCCACATATGAAGATATTATCATTTGGACTTGATCATGTTGTGCCTGGGACTGAGTGTTTTTTCTGAACTGTCAATATGCATACTACTTTTCCATAGTTTATGGATGTTTTATTCAGTTTGTTCTTCCATAAGAAAACTACCATAGACTGGGTGGCTTAAACAATAGAAATTTATTTTTCACAGTTCTAAAGGCTGGGAATTCAAGATCAAGATGCAGGCGGGTTTGGTTTCTGGTGAGAGCCCCTTCCTGGTTATGTCCTCACATGGCAGAGAGTTGGGGAAGTGGAGAGGGGGACAGAGAGAACACACAAGTAAACTCCTGCTTCTTCTTTCTCTTCCTTTAAGGGCACTAATCCTATCATGAGGGCTCCACCCACATGGCCTACTTGCCTCCCAAAGACTCCATCTCTAAATACCGCCACATTGGGGATTAGTGTTTCAACATGTGATTTTTATGGGGACACAAACATTCAGTCCATAGCAGTAGGAGAATTTCATTATAGGAAAAAGTTGAAAGACTGATATTTTCTGTCTGAATCTTTATAAAAAACAAGAATGAAAAGTAAAAATATTAAAAGAATCAAACTCAAGTATAACTGGGAAAATATAAATATATGAAATGAGATAATTAGGTTTCACTATAGTCTCTTCACTTTACCTTGATAAGATCACAGTATAACCTGAACATTTGTCCTTCTCAGAAAGATTCAAAAACTTAAAATTGTTTTAAACTATCACCTTTGCCAGGACAGTGAAACAGCAAAGAACTTCAGTGGTATTTTTCTATCACAGGAAAATCATTTCAGGTAGATACATCAGCAATATATAAGGGGAATATGAAACAGAAAAGTGACATCAGACCTTGAGATAAATGGCTTAAATCTCATAAATGATTTTTTAAAAATAAGAATTTTAGTGATTCATTG